TTATTTGTTAATTTGAGAGAGAATGAGTGAGAGGAGAAGGCCAGAGGGAGAAGCAGACTCCCCAAGGAGCTGGGAGCCCGATGCGGGACTCGATCCTGGAAGTCCGGGATCATGACCTGAGCCGAAGGCAGTCGCTCAACCCACTGAGCCACCCAGGCGCCCGAGAAATAAGTTATTTTTAAAGAGGGTTTTGGAAGGTATTCTAGACGTGAAACCTTTGTAATATTAGTACTTTCGTCCCATCATCCTACTGTCAGACGCGTGGTGATGTAAGTACACGCTGGTTTTACTGACTTTCCTGTCCGGAAGAGCAGGAGCTGTTCGTTTCTCTGCCCTGCCGGGAGAGTGCTCTGACCGCACGTGTGTATAATGGGACATTTCCATTTGGTCTTTGTCCCGGGCTCCTGGCGCAGAGCTCCCAGTCCCCTTGGAATCTCCCGAGTGGGATCTCTTGCTTTTCGGAAGGAGTTTCCTCCCAACCACACCTGAGTTCATGCTAATGAGGTGACCACGCGAGGCACCCTGACCAGCTTCTGATGGTCAGTGCCCTCGACCTGTCGTAGGTGACAGGGATCAAGGAGGTGTCCCTGAGGGGGCAGTGAGAGCCACCTGGGCGAAGGAAGCCCAGGGACAGCACGCTCTGGGCAGGGAGAGCAGCCTGGGACAGGCCCCATGGGGGAGGGAGTTCGGTGCTCTTTGGGGTTTTGAGGACATGAAAGACCTCAAGGGCTGGGATGTCAGAGCAGGGGCAGCAGGGAGCCGAATGAGGCTGGGCGTGTGTGGGGGCTGATCCTTATGTAATGTAAAGGCATCAGGCCATTGGGGAGCCGCCTGGTTCCATCTGTGTTTGGAATATCTTTCTGGAGTACTTGGGTGGCTCCGTCCTTTGAGGACCTGACTCTTAATCTCAGCTCAGGTCTTCATCACAGGGGCGTGACTTCAAGCCCCTTGGGCTCCATGCTAGGTGTGGTCCTTACTAAAGGAAGGGAAAAATGATCTTTCTATGTAGGTGTGGAGAGCCCTTTGGGGCTGGATGATGGAAAAAGTGGGGAGACTGGGACAGAGGCTCTTGACGAGGTAAGAGATGATCCTTTCTTGAGTTAGGGTGATGGCACTGGGGACAGAGGACACTAGGCAGAAGCATCGTGGGGGTGAAGCCAACAGGACATGGCAAGGAGGGTGTGTACAGAGAGGAGGAGGCGGGGTGGGAACTCGGTGTGCGTCTCGGGGAGCAGAGACGGCGGTACTATTGGGTGAGGGAGAGAATTTGGGGGAAAGGTCAGGTTTCAGGCCGGGATCAGGGTGGAGCACAGTGCAGATGAGGAGTTAAGTCTGGATACTCGGTGTCTGAGGTGCCACTGGGACAGCCAAGGGACGATGCCGGAGAGAGGGTTGAAAACTCAGGTCTGCAGGTGAGGCGAACCCTTCAGGCTGGAGATGCGAACGCCAGCGTTGACGGCATCTGTGGCCGCTGAACCACAGGCTCAGAAGAGACGCCAGAGTGAGAAGACCACACCTGAGGCCGGGGGAGACAGGGGTGAAGCCTAGAGGAGCGGTGGGGGGCCCGGGGTCCTTGGGATCATGATGCTGGACAGAAACACAACTTTCGGGCAGCGGGGATCAGGATAACGAGCTGTGGAAAGGCTGAGCAAGAGAGAAACAAAGATGTCCTTGACCTTGGCCATGCTGTCTGCGTGATTCAAGGAGGACCCAGAGCTGGCGGGGCCGAGAGGGTGGGCACACGGAGCCGTCTTGCTCGTGCCTGGACTTCTGCAGGGCTGTGAGCGGCGGCCGCCCAGCGCTCTGGTCGGCGTGGCGTTTGCTATGCTCTGATACTCCGGATCCCTCCTCATGTTTTTGGCCTGATCCAGCATTACTGACGCTCAAAAAGCTTTACTCGCAAAAGAAAAAAGTTCATTAAAATGAGAACCTGCTTCTTATGAAAAGACTGTTAAAAAAAAAAAAAAAGACAGACTGTCTGCTAAGAGAACACGTTATCTGGTTATCTGCCTGAAATGGGCCGCTGCTGAGAACATATAAAGAACTTGTGAAACTCAAAAGTAAGAAGATATATAACCCAGTTAGAAGAGGAGCAGATGATTTAAACAGACGTTCCACACAAGAGGGTATACAGATGGCCAATGGGCTGTTCTCAGACCCCCTCCACCTTCACACCGGCCCGTCACGACACCTGAATGGTTTCCTCCAGACACCGCCACGGCTCCCCTCACCATCTCCCAGGGGGCCCACCACGCTGGGCTCCTTTCCCTCTTGCCTGCTGCCAATCCTGAGGACAGTGTGGCTGTGTTCCCTCCAGGTGGGGTGGCCATCAGCCTCCTGGGGTACACACCCCACGCAGCCCCCTCCTGCCGCGAAGAGACCCATGAAAGCAGCAGGCTATTGTGGAAGTTACCGTGTGTGACTTCCAAACTCAGTTATAAAAGACACTGAAGCTGCCCCTGGCTCTCACGGTGGGGTCAGCCCGCGGCCACGTAGGGAAGGCACTCAGGGAGCCCTAGAGAGAGATCCGTGTGGGAGGAAGGGAGGCCCCTGCCCCCAGCACTCCGTGCGGGGCAGGAAAGCTCGCTCCCTTGTGAAGACCCCTCTGGCCTCCGTCAGCCCGCGGGTGAGGCAGCACTGGCTGACTCTGACCCAGACTGAGCCGAGCCTCTCCTGAATCCTTGACCCACAGAAAGTAGTGGAATACTAAACGTTTACTGGTTTACGCGGTTAGGTTTGGGGGGTGATGTGTCCTGCAACAGTCGTTACGTATGGTCCAAGCTGGAGGGAGCAAGCTGCTTTCGTCTGACTTGGGATCAAAGCCACATTCTGCTACTTAGAAAGTACGTTGTTTAGACTGTCCCCATCTATGAGGGGGGTTTACTGCACTTGTTCCCGTAGGTTCTGAACCTGTAGAAAGGAAGAGAAGGAGGGAGGGGAGGGGGGAGTTGGTGGGAGCCGGCCAGAGTTATAGGTATGGGAACTGTGGAGAAAGAAATGCTGAAAAGATGATTTTTATAAACCGTTAAGGAATGACAGGTGATATCATCCACATTTCTGACCGCACCCAAGGAACTGCTGGCAAAATATATAGGTTGCTGTTTAAACTCTCAGGTCAGGCTTGCGAGGAACCCAGTCGTGTGAAAATTGCACACAGATGAGGGCTGAAGCATGGTTAGGTCATTTCCCCAAAGTTCACACCAAACCTAAGTATCGGCGCTCTGACCCAAGTTCTAGAACAGCAGGGTCAAGCCTCTGGAGCAGAAAACGAAAGGGAGCACGGATCCAGCCGAGGGACCCTCCCCTGCCTTCCCTCTGGGCTTTCCACCGGGTCGCCATTCATCCAGAATGGAGGAGTCTGGAGCCACACGCCTCAAGACCAACTCTTTAAAAGCCTTCTTTCCTCTTCAAGGATCCTTGAGGGCCCCCAGGGGAAGAAAAGTGAGGAAAACCCCAACGATAAAGATGGGGCAGCGTCAAGGGCTGTTCAGTTCAGAGGACTGTCTCTGCTCAGCCCCCCGACCCCCACCCTGTAACTATTTTACCACCTTCTTCCTTTCTCCCTGGATTTCCGGGGGCCCCTTGGCCAGTCACTGGCACGGCCCTTGCAGTGCGTGTTAGGAAAGAGAAGTGTGTGGGATGCTGCTGCGAACAGACTCGCAGAGACAGGGAGCCTGAATCATTTTAACAGGGTAATGCGCCGGGGCTGGCTCAGCCATGTTGTCAGCAGACCACAGCTAGAGAACTTTTATTTCCTGCCATGTGTGCGGCAGTGGCCGGGCAATCCGGGGGTGGGCTGGCGGAGGGGGGCCGGCCCAGCCGCCTCCGGGTCTGGCACCCAAGGCCAGGGCTCTCCCTAATTCACCCCAACTAGCAGGAAATGGGGCTTGAGCAGAAAATGCCAAACAAAGTGCTTGATAATCAGTTAAAAGATAAATCTCACCAAACAGCGGAGACGCTGATGGTTCCAGATCCTTTCTCCACGAGCAAAAACAAAGAAAATTCCTACGTTACAAACAGGAGGGTCAGGCTTTCCAATTCCAGACCTTGGCATGTGTTAAGCAAAACCAAGAATAAGCAAGAAAATATGCTATTTGAATTGCATTCAAAACGTCTTTTACAAGTGAAGCAAATTACTTCTGCATGTTCTGGGGCTCTGCAGAGAACAAATAGTGTTCTGCCTTTAATGGGTAAAATTACACAATTTGCTTTTAACAGTAAACCAAAAGCCACGGTGGCTTCAGATAGCATCGCGCTCCCTCCACGCAGCCCTAGCGCCGGCGGTTTCTGGGCATTTCGGAGGGACGTGGGCGTCCCCACCGCGCAGCGTGGCGAGGTGGGCCCGGGAGGGCGCCGGCGGGGACGCGGCCTGGCCGACGCCTGGATGGTCTCGCTCCTGCCCGCCCTCGTTTCCCTTCCTCCCGCGCCGCCGGGTTCCGGGACGGAGCAGCGTCGGACGGGGCGCGGTGGGTCCCAGTTACCGACCTGTGACCAGGCCCCCGGGCCGCCCCCGCCCCAACTGGATGCCCACTGCCCCGGGCGCCCCTGCGGCGCGGGCAGCCCCGGCGAGGTCCGGCCGGACGCCCCCCTGCCCCGCCCCGAGGCGCCCCGAGGCGTCCAGGCGTCCGGAGGGCGCGCGCGCGAGGCCCGTCCCGGGGCGCAGCGGCGGCCCCAGGTCCCAGCGCCCGGCTTCCCGCGCGCCCCGCCCGCCGCAGGCGCGTGTGTCCGGCAGGGGGCGCCGGCGCCGGCCTTGCTGTGCCCGCGGGGCGGGCGGGCCCCGGACCCTGCCTCCTGCGCGCCCGCGGTCCGCCCCCCGCGCTCCTCCCGGCGGCCGGCGGGACGCGCAGCCCGCGCCCCGGATCCTCGCAGCAGCGCGCGCCGCCCCCGGGCCGGGACCGGACGAAGACCAGCGGTTCTCCAAGAGGCGCCCACTCGCGCGGAGCCCGGGAGGAAGGGCAGCGCGCGCGGCCCACAGCGGTGCTGGCGCCCGGCCCCCCGCGCCCCGCCGGCCCCCGCGCCCCGGCCCCCACGGCCCGCGGTATGGCCCCGGGCTCGGCGCTGCCGCCGCTGTGCGCCCCGGCCGTCTGGGTGGCCGCCGCGCTCCTGCTCTGCGCGCCCCGGACCTCAGGTAGGACCCGTCGCCTCGGGGCGGGGGCGGGGACTCGCGCGCTCGGTCTTTGCCCCCGCGGCTGCGCCCCCGGCCGCTCTCCGGATCTGGGGGCGTCGCGCAGGGCCCCTCCCCATCGGGCCGCCGCGATCCCGCGCCCGCCGCCCCGCGCCGCTTCCACTGAGGCGCGCTCTGGGGTCGGCTCAGCGTTTCCAGAGGCCGCGCGGGCGGCGCCGGGGAAGCCCCGGCCGGGGGTCGGCGAGGGTCGTGCGTGTGGAGGCGGCCCCGGCCCGCCGATGTGACTTTAGTTCTCGGGACCCCGAGTGGGTCCTTGCCCTCCCCGGTTCCCGCAGGGCCCACGGCCCCCGCGCCCCGCTCCGAGCCGGAGCCCCCCACCCAGGGCGCGCGGCGCCGCAGTCGGGCGGGGCCCGGGGACGTCCCCCCCCCCCGCCCCGCCGGATCGAAAGGGACTTTGGCTTCCCTTTTGTTGGCCCGTCCACCCCCTCCTCCACTCCCGGGAGGTGGTCGAGTGGCGTTTCCTGCCTGGGGTCGGAGGGTCGCGGGGCGGCCTTTTGGCGGCTGGGGCGGCCCCCCGGGACCCGGGACGAGGCAGGCCGCCGGAGGGTCGGGCCCGCGTTCCTGGTGGCATTTCCTGGAGCGGCACACGTCGCCCCCGGGGGCCGCGTGCGGGCTTGACTGCGTGGGCGCGGGGCTTGCGGGAACCGCCGCGCGGTGCGGAGGGAGCCGGGGGGATCCGCCTGGGGAGCCGGAGGAGGCGGCGCGCCCACGCCGTCCGGACCCCACCCCCCCAGCACCTCCGGCCGCGCGCGGGGCCGCATTCCGGGCACCCTGCCGGGCTGGGGGGGCGGCGCTGCCTGCGGGCCGGGCGCGGGGAGGCTGAGGGGGCTGGTCTCCAGGGCCAGGAATGTGACACTTACGGGGGATTCAGGGTCGCCCGCCTCCCGCATCGTGCCGCCCCCCGTCCCCCTGCAGGCAGGTGAGGGTCGGGGGCCGTCGAGGGAGGGGCTCACTCTTCCCGCGTCTGGCTGCCGGCAGCGCGCTCCCGGGACCCGTCTACACAGTCAGGAATGCTGGGCTGCCCTTCTGGGGCGTCGTCTGGGTTTAAGCAGATGCCGATTACGTCAGACGGTGCGGGCTACTTGATTTGGGAAGGGGGCGCGCCAGTGTCGCTGGCCTGAAAGCATAAAGCGCCCGGGGTCCTCGGTGCGGTGCCAGCTAGCCTATCGGAAGTCAGCCTGGGGAGTCTCGCCGCATCCCTGCGGGGCTCTGCACCCCCTCCCCGCCGGAATCCTTCTCCCCTTTGTGGGGGGGGATCTGTTCACTGCGGGAGGGGGCGGCAGGGGCTCAGGTCGGCGCCGGGATGTGGCCGCGCGGGGCTGGGTGGTCCTGCGCCCCTGCGCCCGGCGGGCCTGCGGCTGCGGCGCTTTCCGTGGCGCGCACGCAGGGTGGGAGCTGCGCGGCCCGCAGGGCTGGGGGGGATCGCTGCGACAGAGGCGACCCCCCTCTTGCTCAGATCTGGGTTGGCGCAAGCACGGGAAGGTTACCCTCGGGTCGGGCGCGGTAGTTCGCACATTGCCGCCTTTTCCAGTCGAATTTCAGAAATCTCTCAGGGACAAAGCAAGCCTGGGTCACTCCTGAGTCCCGAGCGGAGGTAACTGTTTTCCCAGTAAAACACCCACGTCTGACAGGGGAGGGAGTGGGAAGCGTGTTCACCCGCCTCTTCGTTCTGGAATGCTGGGTTAGCTGAGAGTTCACATGTGTTCATATTCAAAATACAGTACAATTTTACGAGGACAGGAGATTTGGGTACTTGTCATCTTTTGTGCTGGGATGAGAAATCCTTGTAACCTGAGCGTATTTTAGACCCGAAAAATGTTACTATGTAAAAACTCGGAAAGGTGCTTGTAGAAGGATTTGTAAGTCCTTATTCTACACTTTAATAGATGGCTCTTCCCTAAGGAGACAGATTCCTGACGGGCTGTGTGCCTCGCATACGTGGGACAGGCTGGGACTGGTGCTTTTGGGGTTCTCCCTTTCCCCATTTGACCGTGCTGCAGCCTTGACTTCTGGCCCAGATCCTTGGACTGACGGTCGTATTAAATAATGCTCGCGGGCCATTTGGAAGAGAGCAAACGAAAACATCTTGAGTAAGAAGACTTTGGAAGGAGACAAGTTTTCCTGTATATAGTAAGGCAGCATATTTTTATTACAGCTGTGTGCGGAGCGGAGCAGCACACGTTGGAAATGTTTTAGTGTTTAACAGCGAGAGCACTGTGGCGTGTGCTCAGTGGTAAAGGCCATCCCGAGACCCAGACACGGCTGCCCCCGTGGACACCCGCAGTGAGTGTCCGCAAAAGCCGCATGGGTGCTCACGGGGCTCTAGGCAGTGAGGCCAAACTGTGACTTACCCAAGCAAGTCACAGTCGGAAATACGACCAGAATTTTGCGTAATGGTTCGTGTGCCAAAAATCAACATGAGTTTCAGAACACGCTTCCTGGGGTCGTTTTGGGGGCAGGATCTGTGGATGGACGCGAGGCAATGGGAACGACGTTTCTGTTTTTTATTGTGAAACCTGTTTCCTATTGTTGGGACCAAGTACGGCCTCGTTTGGTGTTTCTGTATCCCTCTTTGCCGTGAAGTATTTGTTTGCCATGAATAGTCAGTCAGCCTTGGTTTAACCTCTGAGACATTTAAGCCTGGCAAAGCCCGGGTTTAACACGGCTCTTTCCTCTGGAATCTTTCCCCCAGATCAATGGGCTGGAGATGTCCTGGGGCCGCAGCTCATCTGACAGAGAGGGAGGAGGACTCCTTCAAAGGGGGATTTCTGAAGGCAGGTTTCCGCCCAGAAGGGGCTCTCCTTTACAATGCATTGGAGGCCAGGATGTGGAAACTTATTACCATTGCAATGCGGCCTGGGTGTGAAGGGTTTGGCCTCGCCGCGGGTCTGCCAAACCCTGGCCAGCCTAGTGAAGCGCAGGGAGTTTGTGTGCTCTGAGGCCATTCCCTGGAGAGCTCTGATTATGTAATTCCAAGTTGCAGTCAAGGGAGAGACAGTGGCTGCTTAGTGTTATCCCCACCCAAGGTTTATGACCCTCTTCTCAAATGTTCGTTGATACCACAGGCCTTTTGGTGTTTGTTTGTCCATTCCCTGTGGACTGACCCGTCTGCCTCCCCAGCTGCAGCATCCTGGGGTCACCAAGTAGAGCAGGGCAGGGTGGGGAAGCACTGAGGTTGCCCTGCTGGGCCCCACGGTGGGGGGCAAGGGGGGCTCCTGAAGGGCTCTGACCCCATCCTGCTAGAGAAGGTTGTCGCAGAGAATCTTCTTTGGGGACCCTGAGGTGACTGCCAGGTGACCTCCAGGAACGCCGTGCAGGAACGCTTTCAGAGCAGAGGAAGCCTTGGGGCGAGGGCTGGGGCTGGCGTGGCCACAGCGGCTTCGTGGAGGACAGGCGGGGTTAAAAGAACAGTGCGGCAGCAGAGCAGAGGTGTCGGGGTCCAGCAAGTAGTGACGCTTCCTGAGTTGTGAAGCCACAAGAGGAGCTCCGGCCCAAAACTACGCCGGCAGCCGGCAGGGCTCGGTACCCGCCTCTCTCCCGTAGCTCCTCCTGTGCTGTGGTCGAGGAGCTGGCCGAGTTGGAAGGAAGGACAGGACAGCTCAGCTCGCATGTGCCGTCGCCTGAGAACAGGTCTGGGGTGTGTGATCTGGTTGAACTCGTGCTAACAGAGTGGCCAAGGAATGGCCGGACAGTGCCTGCGGTTTTCTGAAAGCTTTTCAGAAATGAGGGATTGCGTTCGTGTGGTTTGCACCATTTGGGGGGGTTTCTGCTGTGTTTTCTTTTTGTTTGTTGTTGTTGTTGTTTTTAAAGTTCTGTCTCAGAAAGAACCCCCCCCAAAAAAAATCAAAAGCCCAAGGGAAGGAAGTAATTACAGAAAAATGTAGCTAATTAGACTAAGTGGCTTGCCCTCTAGAAAGTCTCGTGCTCCGGCAGAAGTGGTGTGTGTGTGTCTTTAACTGTCGCTGGAAGGAGCTCCAGGAGGCTGTCACTTGGAAGATGTTATCTGGGAGAATGTGGCTGCTTCTTCAGGTCCTCTGTGAGTGGGGGAGGGTTCGCCCCATCCCCCACGCTCCCAGCCCCGGGATTTCCCCAGCCCGGTGCCCCCTGCCCCGGGGGGCTGCTAGTTAACCCAGCGTGCACCGAAGTGAAGAAATCTTTGCAGACCTGAGCCCTGAAGGACAGTGGCCTCCAGCACGTGTAGCTCTTCCGGTCAAAATTAATCAAACTCAAATGCAAGATTCACTTCCTTTTGCCCTGGCCTTTCTCGGGTCCCAGCACACAGAGGACATTCCCATCGCTGCAGGGAGCTCTCTGCCACCCCCACCCCCCAGATGCTCTTCCTCCCCTCCGTCCCTCCGTCCCTGCGTCCCTGCGAGGAGGGGCTCTACCTGCTTTGGCTAGAGCTTCCTTTGTTGCTTGTGGGCCTTGGGAAGGCAGAACCCAGTTGGATGGACGCTAACCAAGCTGGAGAACCAGAGGGCCCTGCCCCCGGGGCGCGCAGCACGTGTGTGAGGAGGGCAAGGGCCAGGACACCTTCCCGCTGACTTGTTAGTCCCTGGGGGTGCAGAAGCAGGGTCCCTGGGGAAACCCACTTAATGGACTGAGCCACCCAGGAGTCCCTTCTGCTTAAGGGACAAACAAGGAAAGGAGAAATCAAAAAGTAACGTGGATTATCTCAGATATTTTATTTATTTTATTTTTATTTTATTTATTATTTTAAAAGTTTTGTTTATTTGACAGAGAAAGAGAGCGCACAAGCAGGCGGGAAGGGCAGAGGGAGAAGCAGATTTCCCGCTGAGCAGGGAGCCCACTGTGGGGCTCCCTCCCAGGACCATGACCTGAGCTATCTTCTAAAAAAAGACAAAACCTGGGGCCCCTGGGTGGCTCGGTCTGTGGAGTGTCCGACTCTCGGTTTTGGCCTGGGTCCTGATCTCCTGGTGGTG